TCTATGAGGTCCTCGCTGAGCACTGGTCCACCTGGCGAACAGCAGTCTATGAGGTCCTTGCTGAGCACTGGTCCATCTGGCGAACAGCAGTCTATGAGGTCCTCGCTGAGCACTGGTCCACCTGGCGAACAGCAGTCTATGAGGTCCTTGCTGAGCACTGTTCCACCTGGCGAACAGCAGTCTATGAGGTCCTCGCTGAGCACTGTTCCACCTGGCGAACAGCAGTCTATGAGGTCCTTGCTGAGCACTGTTCCACCTGGCGAACAGCAGTCTATGAGGTCCTCACTGAGCACTGTTTCACCTGGAGAACAGCAGTCTATTAGGTCCTCGCTGAGCACTGTTCCACCTGGCGAACAGCAGTCTATGAGGTCCTCGCTGAGCACTGTTCCACCTGGCGAACAGTAGTCTATGAAGTAGTCAAACCGGGCAGAAGATGCGTGAAAGAAAACCCTTGCAAAGAAAAATTGCATTACGGCAGACCAAAGTTAACCAGAAATAAAGGTTCTCCAGCGAGAGGTGCAACCGAGGCTGCCATTCAAGGATCAGACTCGTAAGCCATTGGATGAAGTGTTCATAGGAACCCAATCATCTCGCGAAAACGGAAGGATGCCATACATTCGCCCGTTAATCAGCAATCATTAATAGGGGGGGGGGGGGAAGAAGTTAATGTAATCCACCAAACCTTAACTACAACAAACAAACAAACATACAATCGAAAGACAAACCTGGATGGGTTTTTTTTTATTAATATAAGGTTATTTTTAGACATAGGATTATGTGGGGCTGATTTAGACAGGATTATGTGTGGTTGATTTAGACATAGGATTATGTGGTGCTGATTTAGACACCGGATTATGTGGAGTTGATTAAGACACAGGATTATATGGGGCTGATTTAGACACAGGGTTATGTGCGGTTGATTTAGACACAGGATTATATGGGGCTGATTTAGACACAGGATTATGTGGGGCTGATTTAGACACAGGATTATGTGGGACTGATTTAGACTCAGGATTACATGGGGCTGATTTAGACACAGGATTATATGGGGCTGATTCAGACGCAGGATTATGTGGAACTGGTTTAGACACAGGATTATGTGGGGCTGATTTAGACACAGGATTATGTGGGCTGATTTAGAAACAGGATTATGTGTGGCTAATTTAGACACAGGATTATGAGGGACTGATTGAGACACAGAATTATTTGTGGCTGGTTTAGACATTGGATTATGTGGGACTGATTTAGACACAGGATTATATGGGGATGATTTAGACACAGGATTATATTGGGCTGATTTAGACACAGGATTATATGGGGCTGATTTAGACACAGGATTATATGGGGCTGATTTAGACACAGGATTATGTGGGGTTGATTGAGACACAGGATTATGTGGGGTTGATTGAGACACAGGATTATGTGGGGCTGGGTAAATCAAAACCACCCCCATTCCCATTAACCCCAGATTATCCCACCAACCACTCCATAAGCACAGTGGCGTAGCTACGGTTACTGCCAAATGGGGTGTGAAATATTTCTGGCGCCACCATTGCTACAAAAAAAAAATCTCTGCCGTTGGCCCCTAAATATAAAGAAAAATGTGCCGCCTGTGATGGACCTTCCTACGCCACTGCATAAGAAACCCTACTCCAACCGCCACCTATAGGATTAACTAAGGGAGTTAACCATTAGAATCATTACAGTTAATAAAAGCTAAAGAGAAAATACGATATTGCGAGGACTTCATTATGGCTGATGACGTTCTACAACTCATCTAGATTTCATGTTTTCATTATGTGTTTCTTCAATGGAAAGCTGTACAAGGTACACTTTCTTATGTCTGTTTAAAATGTTCTGGTAATGTCTTGCAAAATCTTACAATATCTTACAATGTCTAGCAAGGTCTTACGGAATCGTCCAGTGTCTTGCAGCGTCTTACAATGTCCTACTCACGCCTACAGCACCATGTTGGTCTGCGCTAACAATGGCAGATCTGGTGGTCACAGTACCAAACAACTGAACCCCTAAGGGCTGCAGCTCCACTCGTACCATATTTCAGCGGCATTCAAGACCGACGCATGAGACCGGTCGTTCGAAAGAAAAATTCGTCTGACATTGTGGCTACATTGTCACCGATCGCATTCGAATCTTTATTGTTTATTATCACAACCGCCTTGACCTTTCATGCGTAGTAGTGTATTATTATTACTCAATATGATTGAATGGAAACTAAGAACGTTAAGAGAATTTCCATGAGACTTAACAAAATGATACAACATGACGCACAACTTTACAACGTGTTTCTTTTTCACTAGGCTCCTTCTGTTCTAGATATGATATTCATTGCTAGCTGACACTGTTTTTTGGTCCGTATGTGTAGACTCCTACTACTGTTAAGGGGGCACAGTCACCTAGAATTGAGTGCTCAATTTGTAACAAAAATCTAAACGACCAATTCATGAACATATAATCATAAAAATTGCTGAAAATGTAGCCAAGATGTTGTAGATTAAGGAAAATGAGGCCAAGATGTTGTAGATTAAGGAAAATGTAGCCAAGATGTTGTAGATTAAGTAAAATGTAGCCAAGATGTTGTAGATTAAGGAAAATGTAGCCAAGATGTTGTAGATTAAGTAAAATGTAGCCAAGATGTTGTAGATTAAGGAAAATGTAGCCAAGATGTTGTAGATTAAGGAAAATGTAGCCAAGATGTTGTAGATTAAGGAAAATGTAGCCAAGATGTTGTAGATTAAGGAAAATGTAGCCAAGATGTTGCAGATTAAGGAAAATGTAACCAAGATGTTTTAGATTAAGGAAAATGTAGCCAAGATGTTGTAGATTAAGAAAAATGTAGCCAAGATGTTGCAGATTAAGGAAAATGTAGTGTGAATGGTATGCATTTTTTACTGAAATGAAAAATTAGCTAATTTTCTTTGACAAAGCAGGATACATCCCCACATATCTAGTCAAGTACAAGAGATAAATAATGTTAATTCCCACTATAGTCTTTACATTTGAGAGTAAGTGTGCCAAATTTCAGCACAATCTGACAATAATTGTGGAAAATAACTGCAAAACAGCTCATGTGTCGTTTTGGCCAAAATTTACACATACTTAAAAAAAACTATTTTCTTACCTAAAAGCATTGAATCCCCTCCTTCTTGGTAAGGATGGCCCTCTCTTTCAGGTTATTTTTCATCAGCTTTATGCAGTGGTTTTTTTTATAGCTGTGTAGCTACTTTCCCCCACTGGTTTAGGTAGATCCATTACTCCACAAAAGGTCTCTAGCTCTGACTAGTCCGCTCCTATGCTTGGCATAGCTAAGGCAGTTTGCCTATTCACTATGTTTACAAAAGAATTGTCTACAGCTATCTAGGGTAATGATGAGAAAGCAGGCTGCTTGTCACAGTTGTTATTGTTGCAATGAATGTAAATCTGCTTGCTAGTACCTTTATTTCAAGTTCAAAAAACCTTAGAGTATAGTGAAATTGACAACACACCAAACGCGAAACAATATTTTCACCCAGTGTTGATGTCTATAATTTTATTACCTTCTGGACTGCCAACGTCAACATTGGCATTATCATTTTCTGCTGCACATTATTCGTCCTTTTTCAGAAGATTCATTTTCAACATCTGACTCGTCTTCTGTAACCTTATCTGTATTACTAGAGTCGAATATCAAGTCATACAAATTGTGTATTTTGTTGTTCTGATCTAGCGGGCGTGTCCACCTGGTCACACTCAATCTCTACATTGTCAGATATACTATGACTATACTATGACTATGACACAACTGTTGTTTACATTTTTTGTAAGCCTTTTGCTACCGTTTCCTTTCCCTTTGTAAACTGAGTGCCACAAAATTTAAGTTTTTCTGGCTTGGAAGGTCCATACTTTCGATCACTGGGAATTGTTTACGTAAAAGACTACAGTAATCAAACAAATCAGTTCGAAATTTTTATAAAGGCAATTCATTCATAGGAACAGCCAAAACAACATTCAAACGGAAATACAAAATGTAGGGAGTAGCTCATTATCCAAAAGCTGTATAGGGAGCGGTTATTATTTATTTAATACGTGGTTATGTGACCGAGTGTTGTTCTCCGCTATTTTGTCGATTTCTGAGCATTCTGAGAGCCTACCCTCACCCTCTTTAGATGTCAATAAGTAATAAACTAAAAAACAGAATGTAAATTATTAAAAACTGTCTGAAAGAGAAATGATTGGTGAATGAAAAGGCATGTTAAGAATTACTGTGTTTAAAAAAAATGTTTTTATGAAAATTCTGGGTTACTGTGCCCCGCCCCCCACCCGTATGACTTGAGCATCTCATAATTATAATATTATAAATAATAGCCTCCTGAAATTGTGGTTTTTGTTTATTTGCGTGCTGCCTCTGCTATCAGCTTATGTATTGCATATATTTGCTGTAGTTGTATTTTTTTTTTTAAGTTATAATATGCTGAAACTTTGCAAATTTTATACTATCAATAATTTTTTGTTTTTATATTAAAAATAATTGCTATTTTAAATAACCATCAGTTATCCTTTATAATGAATACAGTTGCCATACAACTTTTCTTTCAAAAGTTGCATCTGTCATTGTATAAATTAATTAAAAATGGGGAACATTCTAGCCATTTTCCATATTGAAGACTCGTCCATACAAGCATCTCATTCTAAATGAACAAAAATCAAAATAAAATTTAAAAAACACACAAGAATTAAATGTTTTAAATATTAAAGAAAGTGTGTGTTTAATACATGCTAATTCAAAATTTCAAAAAGTCTTTCTCTACTCATGTATACAAATTATTTAAAAATCAGAGTTTAGAAAATCCAAAAATAAACAATCATTTAAAGTTACAAATATCATAAATTGTTATGCGTGGGCTTTGCCAGTGTCATACTACTTCTGGGAGTTCCCTTTTCTTGTGGGTTTTTTTTTTAATTTTTTTTTTTTTATTTTTTATGTAGGAAGCGTGTGACATCTTGCTTCCTCATTATTGTACATAGGTCATACTAATCAATGCCTTAAAGTAACATAAGACAAGATTTCTTGAAAACAATCCACAATGCTTGTAGCATTTCATGATTATATCTATTGCACCTGATGGTGATCCAGAGTGCTGACCCCATGATATCTTGTGTTATGTTTATTTTAAGTATAAAGGTTGAGAGCAGAGCCGTTCTTGGGATTTTGGGGGCTCTAGGTAATGAGCGTAGGTAGGGGGCCCCGGAAAGGGGGGGGGGACACCCCCGGAGCTGAGGAGAAAACAGAATTGTGAAGTTATAATATATGGACTTTCAAGTTGTAGGCTAAAAAAGACGCCCAGCCGGGACCTATTGGCAGTGGGGCCCTAGGCGGTCGCCTACTTTGCCTATGCCTAAGAACGGCTCTGTTGAGAGAGACTTTGTGGTGATTCAAAGCCTATCATTCTGTGCGTCTTACCGTTCCATCGTGAGACGCTGTTGAAGATTTGATTCGCATCTTTGCATTCTCATTAGTAAGAGACAAACATTTTAGTAAACCTTTCGGCAATAGAAGAAAAATTAATACGTCTCGGCTAATTCCTTTATCAGTACATTTACAACAAGTTATTTGCATGAATTTCAACTGCGTCACGCCATGTCCGGAGATTGTTATGAAACCAGGATTGCTGTTATTGCTGACGATAGTTTGTTGTTTTTTGTGACATTCAAGTCAATAAACACCTATTCTCAAAGTACAGGTGAGGCAAACAATTCGAAATAAAAAATGTGTTTACTGAGCTAAACGCAACGATTGAATAGAAATGTCTTTTATGTATAAAATGTTTGTTTGGAGTATCGATTACTGTCACGTTTGTATATGTCTGCTTATGGTTGGGGGGGGGGGTGGAGGCTGATTTGTTTAAATTATTTAAACTTTACAACACTAGAAAATTCATAACTTGAAACTAGAAAATTCATAATTTGTTTATAATTCGCTAAAGAATCGTTTTCTGAAGTAGGCACAGGGTGTAAGATTGACTTGCCAACAACAAAAAGATCATTGTAATAATTTGTTTTAAAAATTCATAAGGATTGTCCTTTGAAAATATTGTCCGTATGCAGGGATTTCCAGCTGCTTCAAGAAATTGTCGGCCTATGTAGCATATACTTTTCATTTCAAGAACGTCAGACTTTGGCAACACCTAATGGCCAAAATGTGAAATGGCCAAGCAATTCGGGAACTGACAGTACTTCCGGTGTTGGTCGTAACATATATGACTGAGAAAAAAAAATTATGTCCAATGAATCATTTAAAATAACATGACTTCGACTTACAGATTCAAAAACTTTGCACCAAAAATATGCAAATTCTCAAAATGAATGTCACTGGATGATGATGATGATGATGATATTGATGATGATGATGATGATGACTGAGTAATTTGATGGCGCTTCTGTCCATGCTCTTTTAGCATGCTCACAGCGTTCGGGTGTCCTTAAATCTAATTTTAAAAAAAGAGTCTTTCAATTTTTCTTAAACGACATTTTAGTATTGTAAATTTACCTTAAAGATTGTGACCAACTGTTCCACAATTTAGGTGCAATTATGGAAATATAATCTGTTCACACGTGTGCCAATTGATCATTTTAGAGTTTTTTTATCGATATATTTATCGATATATTCCTCGCTGGAACGACAAATTGAAATAGATACATAGATATGTTAGATCGACTAAAATTCAACCACGTGTTTAGAAACATGTTTGAAAACTCATTACACTTTCCGGGTGGGTGAGAATCGTTAACCTTGGTCGGCAACTCATCTAAGAGAAGGAAACTCTGAATTCAAACCCGGAGTTGGAGTCCCGTAAGGCGCATACAATGTCCATTCCTGCAACCGTACCCATCCCTGGTCGTCTTGACGTAGAGTCTTGACACTGGATGTGGTGGGCTCGGACGAGAGAGTGAGGTTGACGCTGCGCAAATCTTCCTCACTTTAAACAAAAGTCACCCGCGCAAGTCATCAGTCACCAGACGACTCGATGGTCATCGTCGATCCTCGACGGACGAACAACAACACTTAAAGGAGACAGCCTCGGTTTGTTTTTTTTTAGACACTTTTTGAACATTCAATACATGTGATACCTTTTAGTATATGAAACGTGCTAGCTCTCTAGATTTTATTTTTATACTCTTCACATTATGCTATAACCCTATACCCTATAACTCTATACTCTATTACCCTATGCCTATAAACCAGCATCGTCTTGAATCAACTCAGATGTTATTGTTTGTTTTCAATGGGAAATACGAAAAAAAAAAATATTGAAATTGAAAAAACAAAAAACAAAGTTCACCAGCCGGTGAAATGAAAGACCTCAAATGATTGACTTAATTCGTTGCACAGGGCCTTAATACCTTCTCACTGGTTTTGAAAAGAAGAAATAAATGAAGGGACTGCTTTCAAGCTATGTAAATGAATGAAATAGTGAAACGAGGTATGTACCATACATTAATTCGCTCCTTTCAATTGGTCTGTTCATTCCTTCTATGACAGAATCTGTTTGTAAGAAACGTACGTAAGTCTGTAAAAACAATATACGTTTTTTTAGGCACTCACATATTTTTATAATATGTTTTTTTTTAATGATTGCTTTTACCCATATTTTTATACATAGAAGATCTGCAGAGGCGGCACTTTATGATTCTTTGAGATTATGAGCAAGTTGCCGTCTCTACTTGAGAAACTGACGAATTTCATTCTTGGCACACATTTCTATTTTCCCAAAGGATTCACTCTGTAACGGGCGGTGCTCGATGTGTATTGGGAAAAAAGAGAAAACCTCACTTTACCTTAAAGTTAAATAAATATTTAATTCAATATTCATTATGCAAATTTTTACAATAACAAAACGCCTTTATCCTTGCGTCACTGACGCAGTCTGCCTGACCGCGGTACAGATTAAGTCTGTCTATCCGCTCTGCGACATCAATTATAAAATGGTTCTTGGTGCCCCAAAATGAGGTCTGCGGAACAACTTCGCGTGCGAAGACAGTAGCCTCGAAAACAGCGTGTCCTGGCGTAGTCTGTAACCGCACCCTGAATAGGTATTTGTCGTGTTTCCCCTCAGAAAGATTCTTTGGTAGCTCAACCTTAACCACCTGAAGAATTTCTTCTATTTTTAAAGCCACGCATATTGTCTTGTTGATCTTTAAATTGATGGCGGCCAGTGTCGTCTTCGCCAGGATTTTTGCTGGTTCTGTGGAGGTATCAAGGCGTTCCACCGTGCTCTGCCCACAGAGGCAGTACTCCTCTGGTATGGGGATATCCTTGCACGTTCTATTTTTAGGTATTTTTTGTAATAAACTTATCCCATGTTTATTTTTTCTAACAGGGGCGTCTCCGTTACCCCGGAAGTACAGCAGATCCGTCAGCGTCGCGTGTGTGTCGTAGTGGGTCGTAAGGCGACCTGTGTTCGTATTTAGGTTCCTAGCAACATCCGGGTATTTTTCGAGGAACCATTTCGGGAACGTAAAGATTGCGAATGGCGTGCGACCTTCGTACATGCCGTTAATAGAGGACCTTATTGGACCCCATCTCGGCCCGTGGTCGGAGAATGTGATGAGCACGGTGTTGTTCAAATACCCGGACTTTTGAAGCACTCGGTAAAAATTAAACACGTGCTCGTCTGCGATTTTAAGATGGGTCATGTCGTCGTGCGAAACTTTTGTCAAGAACGCCATGGCGTACAACGGCTTGTCATGGAAAGTATCGAACAGTCGCTTGACGTAATCGAAATGAAAGTTCACTTCCGGCTGTTCCCCGACGCACTGATTCCCCGTGTTCCAAATCTCCTTGTCGTGCTCCATGACAACACACAGCGACCGACTAAAATGTGTCGTTGGGTTGACAAGGAATCCTTTCTTTTCGTAGCTGAACGCCCCGATGGTCGGCCAGTCTTCTGTGTACAGTGTCGTGTACCCGGCCCTCGCGTAGTCCCGCCACACCAGATCGAAGCCGTCCGTGTACTTTGAGAAATCCCACCACGTGTTGATCTCGTCCTCGGACCGTCCCGTCAGCAGCGGGATAAAGTTGGGGAACGTGTTTTTCCCGACCTGCGTGTACATGGACATGTCGAAGGAGCGGAAGTCGTTCATCAGCAAGGGATACGTTCTCGTCATGGACCTCATGAAGTGGTGCCGTGACACCCCGTCGACGCCGATCATGATGACGTTCAGCGTCTCCCTGGGAGCCGACTCCATCTCTCGTTTTTTCAACAGCAGGGCCTCGACCTGGCTACGTTTTTCTCGTTTGGGTATAAGTGCAAAGTACATCCTTGACACAACTTTCTGACCACCGTCTTGACAAACCACCCTGATGAACTCAGAACTCTTTGGGAGCACTTGAAAGTCGTTAAAAGGCGGTTTTAAAGGTCCTAGGAAATTATGACCCGGAAGTATTTCCTGATATTGACACGTGATTTGGATCCCTCCCAGCTTTTCGTGCACTTTAGTTTTGTTGATGGCCAATGTGTTCCCATCTATGTACAGCAGGTCGGGTAATTTAGCGTGACACTCAAGTGTTCTCAAGTTGAGGCCGGACATGGCCATTATTTCCGGGTCGAATGGGTTGACGCGAGGGAAGACACACGCCAGAGATTCTTCCCCGGAATCCCTTTTGCCAACCTTAACGCCACGGCTAAGAGACGCCTTCTTATTGTTTCGGATATATTTATGATTATTGTGGGCTGTGACTCTCCCTGGCTTGTGTTCTTTTTCAGATTCCTTTTTTCGTGTCGAAGCGGAGTCCCTCACTATCACACGAGTCTTTGAATTATGCAAGCGTGATTTTAAGCTGTAACGGATGTCCGTAAGATTGACGCCACTGTCAGGTTGTGTCAAAGTTTCAAGTTTTCCTTTTGAGTCCATGCTGAAAATAAGTTTTGTGGTATGTTCTTGAATGATGGTGTAGAATCCGACATAATACATGGCTGGTCCAAGAATTAACAGGACGAGAAAGGATTGCGGCAGCAGACGAGACAAGCTTCTCAAATCTGAGATTTAAAAAAAAAAATTATTTGGAGTGAAAAATCTATAAAAGATGAAAATTATACTCAAAAGGAAGGACTTGAAATATGCTTGTTTAAAAATTCCAAAATGGTTGTAACATTTTATGAAGACATAATATAAATTGACAACGGAATTATTGGAATGGATAAGAACCGTGAAAGTCGCGCCCGGGACAAAAACTGAAAAATACCCCCCCCCAAACCCCCCCCCCCAACACACAGTTTAAAAAAAAAAGGTAAAAGATCAATAAATGATACACGCAAATATTACGTTTATTTCCTTTTTCGGCTTCAAATGTATTGAAGATTATGGTGCCTCTATGATGCTGGCCCCCGGGGTGCCCTCTGCGCCCCTCCTCGCAAGGCCCTGGGCATAATGGTGTATAAAAGGCTTTAGGGTAGAAACTTACATTTAACAAATAACAATGCCAGTGTTATATTTATAAATAAATAAAATTACAAATAAATACTCCTATGTGAATGGAAGGATCTTGACCATCTTGACCAAGTTAGTACACATGATCTTGATTATCCATATTCAAATTCCGAGAGGTACTGAACTCCAAAAAGTCCACTCATTTGGCCCCATTTCATTTTAAATTATATGTTATATAAGCGTTATAAACACCATTCGGCTAAGATAACACTATAGGTTCTATGTCAATTAATGGATCTCGGCCTATAGTATTTCTAAACCGATTTTAATGGGGGCAACTTTTAATTTTTTAACACCATTGTATATCTGAGCTAGTGATTTTTGTAAGGGGGGTGGGGGTGGGGGGTACTATCTCAGACATAAATAAAACGGGACCCCTCTTTTAATGGAAAATGGTTGTAGTTCTGGTATTTTGAATTTTTCTTACAGGAAAAGAAAAATATGTCTAACAGGCATTTCTCACACGGTAGGAGAAGGTAATTAATTTTAATCCACGGGGATCGCTTAGGGTTAATCTAAAAGCTTATTGAGATGTTTGTTTAGTTCTAAACATTTGTGTGAACAGAAATAGTGCCACGTCTGTTTGAAAATGGGCCATGTGTGTCCAGTGCAGTTGAAAGAGACTCTCCCAACCCCCCTCTTTTATGTTGGTGAGAGAGAGAGAGAGAGAGAGAGAGAGAGAGAGAGAGATAGAGGGCGTTAGTGTGTCTGTTTATTTGTTTGGTTTGTGTTTTGATGGTGCGTGTGTGTGTGGAACAAACGGTGAGAGAAGGGGATAGTGGGTAGGGAGAGGAAGATGGTGAGAGAAGGGGATAGTGGGTAGGGAGAGGAAGATGGTGAGAGAGAGGGGAGAGGTCACGAAAAAAATAGGCAGTTGGCCCAAATTGTCACCTTTGAACATATAATAGGTGGCACCCGGGGCGCACCGCAGCCTCCTTCCTACGCCCCTGAATTTATGAGATATTTGATGAGTTATTATGAGATATCGGTATTTGATGAGATATTTGATGAGTTATTGTATGCAATATTTGATGGGTATTTATTAAATACCGATAGTTGATGAGATATTTGATGATATATTTGATGAGATATTTGATGAGATATTTGATGAGATATTTGAGGAGATATTTGATGAGATATTTGATGAGATATTTGATGAGATATTTGATGAGATACAGGTTTATTATGAGATATTTGATGAGATATTTGATAAGATACAGGTATGTGATGAGATATTTGGTGGAAAAGCGCATAAACCAAAACTCACCTCTCTTTAACATTCCCGTGGAATATCTTCTCCTACTTAGTTAGAGTTACTTTCCTAAAAAGGATTGAATCTGCGCCATCTTGGTCCCAGCCACTGAGCCTATTTTAAACGATCAGGTCCGGGTGTCTCGGTGGGTGACTATGTCACTCAAACGGTTCAATAAACAAACACCTTCTCCAATAGACCACATTCATACGCCACGAAACACAGAGATAATGGTACTTTTGAGATAGTTTATTTTTAGATCTACTCCATCGCTCATTAGCGAGGCCATCATTGCTTGGTCATGTAGAACAATTTAGCATCAAGTCAGATGCCGATTAGATTAGAAAGTTGGGCGCTGACGCAAACACGGAGTGTGAACAAGTGTCACGTGACACTCCCAAGCTGTGTGTTGGGCCAAACAACACGATCTGATGATAATGTGCCACGAGTGTGGCGCACGTTGATACAAAGTAAAAGGCGATTTAAAAAATTAGCATCCCTTTAATTCATAAATGCTTCCGACCAATCAACAAAAGGCATAACGTTAGAAGCACCCGTGTGCTTCCGACCAATCAACAAAAGGCATAACGTTAGAAGCACCCGTGTGCTTCCAACCAAACAACAAAAGGCATAACGCTAGGAGCACCCGTGTGCTTCCGACCAATCAACAAAAGGCATAACGTTAGAAGCACCCGTGTGCTTCCGACCAATCAACAAAAGGCATAACGTTAGAAGCACCCGTGTGCTTCCGACCAATCAACAAAAGGCATAACGCTAGGAGCACCCGTGTGCTTCCGACCAATCAACAAAAGGCATAACGTTAGAAGCACCCGTGTGCTTCCGACCAATCAACAAAAGGCATAACGTTTGAAGCACCCGTGTGCTTCCAACCAAACAACAAAAGGCATAACGCTAGGAGCACCCGTGTGCTTCCGACCAATCAACAAAAGGCATAATGATATAACCACCGTCATGCTCAGTGGTAATTTCAGAAATTTTCCCACGGGGGGGGGGGAGGGGGGGCGCATTTCAGATTTTTTTTTGGGGGGGGGGGGCGGGGCCGGTTTATTTTTTGTTGGACATATTTTTGCTCCGGGGGTCACTTGGCTTTCCCCGGAGGGGGGGGGGGTTTCCCCCCTCCGGGGATATAGCTGAAAGAAACCCTGGTTATGCTTCCGACCAATCGACAGACGTTTCGTTATTTGTCGGTTAAGAAAAGTCCTCAATGTATTTGTATATATATATATATATTTTATTCTTATTAGTTTGACATATTAACAACCAATTAGGTAGAATATTCAAAAAATTTTCAAACGGTTCGCTCGAAGCGGCTTCAGCACACAGTTGGGAAAGAACTGCGAAGTTTTACAACTACACCCCCCCCCCTCAAAGCCCCCTAACTCGGGGATGACATAAACATCCTCTAACTTTTGCTCCTGACGACTGTCGCTGACTTTAATCCAGCGACTACACATAAGTTTTTGTTCAATAACAAAAATAATTTTTTTTTAAATTGAAAATTAAGGTATTATTCGTCCCCATAATATTTTTGGGATCCATTCAAATCGCAGGAATGAATTTCAGCACGTACTTGAATATTGCTTTTGATCCTTCTACATTTAATCTGACGGCAACAAAAGAGATGTTAAAATTTAGGAAATTTAGATTACCTTGTCCTGGATGGGATTACAAAAATCTTTTATTTCAAGTTGTCACCATATTGCAATCGTTGCTTTTTAATATTATTTACGATAAACTATTCATTTGTTTAATTATTTCCTTAATAAATGTTTGATTTTACATATTTTTTTAAAATCATTTTAAAAATGTATTTCCTGTCATTGTACCCCTTCGCGCACCTTCGCATGACCCCTTGGGGGTCTTTCGTAAATTATGTCACGCTCAAAATGACCTTTTCAGACCCCCCACCCCCCTGTCATGAAGTGTCACAAATTCTTTAAACCCCCCCCCCCGCCCCCCAGTGACACGTCACACCTAAAAAAATCAAAACATACATACAATTTTCATAACTAAACTAAGATTTTATTTTATTCTTTAACATTTTCCCATAATGGATTAAAATGTAGTATTATTAGAAAACTGAGTTTGATGTTACCTATAATATCTGAGGCAATTTCGACCTCAAATTAATGTTGTTTTTTAATTAATTCAATAAAGATTTTTAACAAATTAGAAAATTTAAGTTAGAAAAAAAAAACGTGACGTCAGAAATTTTTTGG